GGTTATAGAGTAGTAAAGGTAGTAAGCAGTCTTTATTGAGTCTGTGGCAGGGTGTGGTTGTTTTGTGGTTTATCCTGCAGCAGCTACTGTTCCTTTAAAGAAAGCACAAGATTTACATTTTCAGACTTTTGAGATGGGATCAGTAGAAATTTTTGTTTGGAGCTAAACCAGTTGTTCTTGTTTAGATCTACAGTACAACTGTATTGGTTGCTAAGACTACACTGTCAAAAGACATGATGATAAACATCACTGAAAATCTATGAAGGGTTTGTCTCCATCTGTCCTGTCTACTGACTCCATTATGTCAACATCAAAAGTGTGAGCTAGAGGAAGTTGAAATATCCACAGTGAGATAAACCACCAAGATCTCAGGTGGTGTTATGTGAACACTCCACCATGAGAGAGTTTGGTATTTTCCATAAATGAGGAAGTAAATGTAGAAAAGTTGTTCTGGTGTCAGCTGTTAGTGATCAAACTGCACCTCTCACTGAAGTGTTTTCATTGAAACACAGTATGTCTTTGTGGATTTAATACAACCTCAATACAACAAAAATAAGTTTAAAGAGAAGTTCAGTTGTCCTTCATTTCCTGAGCCATAGGTATTTTGAGGTTAATTAATAGTCACTGTGTTCACTGTGCGTAGCAGTCACTGGCTTGATTTAGCATAATTTCTCATTAAAATTATGTTTTGTATCTTAAAATTAAAAAAGTATTGACAGTTTCTCCAAAGAAGAAACACATTATTATGTGGGACAAACAGGGAACAAGACACTTTAATCCTTATTTTGCTACATAGATTGACAGTTATACCCCTGTGACCCTTTTTATAATCCTTCCATAAATTTGTAAATTTTTTTAGCTTTATAGTTTTTCTCATTTTGTACATCTTTACTTGCAACGTTATACAATATATAGACAATATGTCCCTTCAAGGAGTATTTATTTTATACCTGGAATTAATTATTTTATGGGTTTTTGCATAAAACCCTAAAAACTTAACAGCCCCCATCTGGTCCAGTAACCGCACAATGGACCAATCAATCAAGGTTGGTTTCTATTAAGTAAGTTTCCAGTCTGGTTTCAAAGTACACCACAGTACAGAGACAGCACTTGTTAAGGTAACTAATGACTTACTGATAACTGCAGATGGAGGGGACTGCTTGATTTGAGTTATTTTATATTTAGGTACTGTGTTCAATACTATTGATCAAAACATCTCCTTACACCACAAGGAGATGTGGGTGGCACAGCTCTTAGCTTACTTTGTTCATACCTTAACAGAAGTTATTCAGTATTGGGAAACTCTACTTCCTCAATGGCTCATTTGAGATGTGGTGTCCCTTAAGGCTTAGTTCTTGGCTCCTGCCTGTTTTCCATTCATGCTACATCTTAGCCAGGTCATTCATTACGTTGATGACACTCAGCTATACATTCTGTTAAAACCCACAGATCCTAGCAGCCTAGCTAATCTCATATCTTGCCTCTTTGATATTGCATCCTGGATGTCCCTTAATTTCCTTAAATTTAACAACAACTACAGAGGTCAATTTGTTTGGTCTTCCTAAATCCATCAGCTAATCAGAGCTAACCTTGGAGGTCTGTCAAAAAATGTTGGGGTAATCTTCAACATGAAAATGTTGTTCAGTTTTGTTTGTTTCTGCTCAAGATAATCTGTCAAATCATCTTTTTTTTATCAACTGCTGATCTGCAAAAAGTTGTTCATGCTTTCATCATTTCCTGATTTATTGCCCTGGTATGTGCCCTCTCGACCACTGAGATCTTCTGATGGAGCCCTGGTGGTTATACCCAGGCTACAGCTTATGGTATTAGAGCCCCTATGGAACTCCTTGCCTGTTCTCAGACTCAGACATGCTAACATGAAAACATTTGGAAATGTCTGACATAGGTTTAGGCTTTTGAAAGGAAATGTCTGCAACCATAAAACTTTGCCTTGTATGTAAACAAGGAAATGTCTGGCATTTCCCTGTCCACCACAGTGAAGAACAATGAGGAAATTAAACTCCTTCCTTTGTCCCTTGGCACTGTCTCATAAAGTTTCTGGAATGTCCCCTGTTCAAGTCCAGTCGTGTTCCTGACAGAAAATTGGCTTGTGGTGTTTTACCTGCAGTGATAGTCCCACTGCGCAATGTGTCGTTGTGGAGAATTCTTGTGTCAACTACTGCGCTGTATATTAATCACACACTTTCTCCCAAAAAATGTTGATGAATTGTCTCTACCAATATATTTACCCATCTCAAAAAGGTCTTGTCATCTTTAGCTGTCATCGTGTTACAGCTGTTGGGACTTATCATTCAAGAGACCAGATGTTTCTTTGCTCCAGTGGACAAAGGAACTCACACTCCACAGTTCCTCACCATTCACACCTGGGGACGACCCTTCCCCTAACGGACCTTACTAGCCAGCCAGTGTGGGTCAGCGTGTGACATGTGACCCCCAAGGGTCTCACCAAACAAAACCAGATCTCTGGCCCTCTTCTCTCTCTCTTCTTTCTTGGCTTGCTCTGGAGAGCAGCTTCTGCTCTCGGCTCTTCAAAGGGCAACAAGGCCCCAGCCCAGGTCAGCCCTGCTACCTGAGAAACCGGCTCTCTCGCCTGGCCTGCTCACAGCAGCCTGCAACACTCTTCTCCTCAACAGCAGCGACCTGCTTCGGATTAACTGAGAGTGAACCAAATTCTCTTCAGAATCAGCAGCTACGACACAAGGCCAGCTGATTTTCCAAGGAACAGGAGTCATAGCAGAGCTGGCAGGGAACAGCTAACTCTGCAAGGAGAACAAAGGAGATAACAGTAAAACAACACAGCCAGACAGGACTTTACTCCACCAGGAAGCCTCCCAACTCACTGGACTTTACAACAACACTGGAAAGGACCTCTTTGTTTGTTCCAAGGACTGGGTAACTTTAACTGACTGGGCCTTACCTCTCCCAGCACAGCATAGCACAGCACAGCACAGCATAGCTAAGCAGCAGAAGTCTTAACTTTGTTAATGTACTTGTTGATTGATGTCTGGTTGTTGTAATGTTTGCTTAGGTTGTGGTCAGTAATACAGTTAATCAGGTACTCGTATGTTCACACACATAGTAGTATGTCTCAGTTCTAGAACCTGCATGAAGCTAACCTCCTCCCTCTAACCTGGTACCTTTAGATTACATGAGCTAGGCTAACAAAGAAACTCACACCTTCCCTCTCACACACACCAGGTGGTCTCAGCGGCCATTTTGAGTAGTTTCTTTGTTTACCGCCATCTTGTGTAGTCTTCTTTGTTCAGGTCATGTGGTCACAGTGATCACTTTGAATCGGCCATCTTGCCTTTGTCTGTGTCCCCACAGACACACACACATACACCTACACACACACATACACACACCTGTATATACTAGATTAGACATTGTGTTTTACTCTGCTCCATTGTAAATAAATGCCTTTAAGTATAACTACTGGTGTGTTTAATGTTGCACAAGCGTGAATATTGCCAACCTCTACTTGGTAGAATTCCAATCCTTCAACTTTAACTTACTGTTGATATGGTAATTTGGTTATAGTTAGTAAGCTAATGGTTAATCAGAGTTCCAGATTAATGGTAATAAATTGAGACTAAAACCATATTGGCTATTTTGCCTATTAGTTTAGGCTGGTGCCCCGAGGACTTTAATTAATTTTAAAGTTATTATTTACTATTAATATTTTTAATATTAATATTTTCTTAATTTATGATAGCCAATAAATTGATAGACAACCGAAATCCAACATATTTGGTGTCCAGCTCATGAGGTAGAGCTCAGACCCAACACAGCTAAGATCTATGCAGGAACTGTGAGCTGCCAGGTTTGTGTGTTTTCAGCAAGATGTCACTTATTATGATAAAGAGTGAAAGACTGGGATATAAGGGATACTCGACTAATGATCTGGCAACTCTCATCTGCATTGTTGACCAGCTGCTGCAGTTATAGTGGCATTGACGATGAGTGGTGCTGAATCTGAAACTGTCAGTATTTATAGTTTAAAGCAGTGGTTCCCAACCTGTGGGCTGGGGCGGTCAGATGTGGAAAAGGTTGGGAACCACTGGTTTAAAGGTTTCATGGTGAATATCACTTGATATTGTATTAAAAGCTGAGTGGGTAAGAGTTTGCTCATTTGTGAGGTGAAAGTGCCTGAAGAACTGAAGTGTAAGTCACAGCTGAGCTCTGTTCTGTGATTAATCCAAACATTGATCTTTGAAATTAGCTGAGACATGTATTCTATTCAATGCCTCTCTGCCCCTTTTAATGAGTTTCACAGACACATAACAGGCTCTATTTAACATTAAAACCAATGGAGTGAGTACATTTTGAGTGTGTCCATGTCCACTTTTGCTAATTTACTGGTGGAAACAATTGTCACTGCTCCAAGAGCAGAGTATCATCTCTCATTCCCTTTAAAAGCCAGGCATGCTTGTACGTTGGTGGATTGCTCTTATAATGCTGCAGTGTCCATGATGCATGGCAGTATTGAACAACACTCAACAGAGCTGCAGAATCTCAGCTGAGATTTAAACATGGCTCACAGCAGTGGTTTTGAAGCTCAGAGTGAGCTGCCCACTGTTGCCATCTTGGCAGTGCCTGACTCCAACTAACTCCCAGTTAATCCAAAAATGGAGAAAGAGGACCATGCCAGTTTGTGGCAAGCATACGCTCACCCACCTGTCACTCAAAGTGGCCGTGCCCTCAAATATGCAGAACTTTAAGCCTGAATAAAATATAAAGAGTTTTCATGAAGGAGGAAATTAGCTCTAGAGACCAGAACTGCTTTTTGTACCAGGCTGTAAACATGTTTATTTCTGCTGTGAAGTTGGACGTTTTAACATGGGAGTCTATGGGGACTGACTCACTGTTGGAGCCAGACTCTAGTGGCCATTAGAGGAACTGCTGTTTTTGGTTCTTCAGTTGGTTTCATTTTTAAGCCTCAGAGGTTGATGCTTGGTTCAAACATAGGAGCTCACCACTTCAGGGTTTCACACATTTATTGTCTTGTAACATTTCCTTGAAAATCAATCACATCAAGATTATGGTTAGTTTCTAGACAATATATCTGTTTAAAATCATACAAAGAATCATTATACAAGTTCAGTTTTAAGCAAGTTATATCAGCAAACACATGTTTAATTGCATGTGCATATGTGTGCATATGAATTAAAGTAAAGAGATAAAGAACAAGTGACAATCTGATAAAAAGTGTCTCATCCAAAGACGAAACCAAACCTACAACCTTGATATTAGTACAGTTTATAATTATTTTCCCTCCGTGGTGTGGTCACATATCTAATACATCTGTGCCTTCTTACCCCACCTCAGCTTCGCCCAGACTCCATCCCCTTTTTCCTAAATTTGGATTCTCTGGCTCCTGTAACTGCCAACTAAAGACAGCAGTGAGCAGCAAACCCAAGTCCAGACTTCAAAAAGTTTTTTCAGAGTCCTGGTGGCTTCAAAGGTGCTTTGTCCATTTTTTTCTATGTTCTAATAGAAAGTAAAGACAAGGAGTCCCAGCAGCAGATGGATCATGCCACTACTGGCAGTTACTGTTGTCACAGAATTACACAAGTTGGTCGTACAGCAGTTTGTTTCACTGGTGATGTTAGCGATGTTTTGCATCGCAAGGAGGTTTTCCAGGTTGGCAGCAGCAGCACACGCATTCCGAGATGCACAGCCAAAGACTGAAGTACTGTTGGACCCAACCATTACTGTAGAGTAAAAATCACTGTTACTGTATAAATTCAATTAAGTCCAAGGAGAATTTTTTCAGATCCTTCGCTTTACAAGTGACCTAACATCATGTGGAAAATCTTGTTTTTGCTTAGCTCTGTCTGACTCAAACTGCACAGTAATACAGTGAGCAGAAATACGGTAGTTCAACGGTTCACAAACTGTAGTAGTCAAAATATTCAAAATGAGGCGTACACTTCAACTGATATCAGCTTTTTTCTTTGGGCATTTTTTTTAATGGCTAAACATTTTTCTTACAGTTTAGCTACTGTTAGCTGTTTTCTACTCTTTGGGTTCAGCTAACTGATGTCAGCTAATTTCTAACATTAGCCTTAAATTATATTTTAGCTAACTAATGTTAGCTAGCGGATAGTGCGCCCTTTCATTTCCAATGTTTGCAATATAACGTAATATATTATCTAATGTTAGCAAACACTGGTGCTCAGTCATGAGCAGTGAGACAATGGAGGATTAGTTGTTCTAGAGATGTGTTCGATGATATAGAGTTGACTATTTTCCTCCTTTATTTTCCACATAGGAATTCAGAAGTTTTAACTGTTGAGTAATTGAACAATATAAAGTACTGTACTGTAGGCCTACTGCACAATTTTGAGGTACTTGCACCTTATTTTAGTGTTTTCATTTTGTGCTTCTTTATACTTCCACTATATTACAATATATATACAATAGGGAAATATTGTACTTTCTACTGCACTACATTTATTTTACTGCTTTAATTAAACAATCAGGATATTGTGAGTGCTGTAACACTGCAGTTCACTGAAGCACCTGCACTGTACTGGCATTTTGCCCCAGCAAAAAGGTTTAGCCCCATGATTGTCCTTGTATAATTCACACTCTGGTCACCAGCCTCAGCTATGACCCCAGCACAGCCCACCCTGACTCCATATGTAAAACTAGACTGAGATGTTTTTTGGTTCTTAAAACCACAAATATATACTTCTTATGGGTAAACTCTTTTGACTAAACACAGAAAAGGGTAAAGTATGGGACCTTTAAACTATATAACATGAAGACTCACCAGTCGTTTGAAAGCAGCGGTCCTCCACTCCCCTACAATTTATTCGAGTGGTGCATTCAGTGGCAAAGGGTGAGTCACAGGTGAAACACTGTAGGCTGTTATTTGACGGAACAGCTGGGACTGAAAGTATCACAAAATGAAACAAGATGTCAGAAAAAGGATTTGAATATTTTTCGCTCATCTATTTCATCTTGTCTTAAATAAGATAGTCATCCATCTGTACTTACAAGGTAGAGTGTCTGAGTTGCAGTTATCTGTGCTGCAGCACAGAGCAGATATAACTGTACTTGAAAAACCTGTGGTCTCTGAAAATGTCTGGTTGCCTGCAGCTGGACACAGGACGGATGATGCACATGCCTTGATGATTTGCTGCACTGCGGTTCCAGACACATTGACTACAGAGACCAAGAGCAGTTTGTTAATGTTGATGGAAAGCACAAGTTTACAGTACATGTATTTCACTGAAAAGTAACAGAGAACATGAAGAAAAGACCTAGAGCGGAAGCCGTGACACACATCGTCTCCGAGGTACATGTGAATGGGACTGTGCTTGAGCACTGTAGATTTGAGCAGGTTTGACACACGAGTGCTCCAGCTGCAAAGGAGAGAAAAATAGTGAAAGAATGTCACATCAAATGTGTGAGGTGTTTAGGGTTACATAGTTTCGGTGGTTTATAAAGGCTCAAAAATCTTTAACTGTTGTTCCAAAAGAATTTAAGATATAATGGTTGTAATGGTAAAAAAATATTTAAATTGTCTAATATACACAGCTAGACTCTTTGTTATTTAGTTCTTTATTTATTTAGACTATTTCTTGTACTGTTGTACTGTAGCATGAGAATTTTCCATCTGGGTATCTATATATAATGATAATAATAATAATAATAATAATAACTTTATTTATATAGCACTTTTAAAAAAAAAGTTAAAAAGTGCTGTACAAACATGAAAACAAAAAGCAATAAAAGACACAGAAGAGGGGCAATGTGTAGAGCATAAGTACATGTGTTAAAACAATCAGATCAATAAAGCAACAAAAAAAATAAAACCAAAAGTAAGGACCAAAGTTAGATAATAAACCAAGAATTAAAAGCTGCTTTATACAAGTGTTTTGAATAGTGATTTAAACAGGTGCAATGACTCAACATGCCTGATTTCCTCTAAAGTCTCAGATGTTTTTATATATTTTCAAAGATCTATAATTAGTTCTGATTAATTAAAACAAATAAGCTGCTATTATTTGGTTTCTATTTCTTTATAAAAATTGGTTCCAGTAAGATTTGGAAATTGTTAAATGTCTTAAATTAGGTGGTGTAATACCTGCAGATAATCTAATGTAAGAATAGGTGGTGTTACCTGTGCTGGAGAGCGCCCAGATGAGAGTCAGAGAGAGGATCAGCTTCATCGTGATGAACAGGTGCGTACCGCAGATCAGTTTCCCCAGGTGGTGACACTACACCTGATCAGCTACACCTTATATACTCCACAGGTGGAGAACATTTACAACAGCTGCATGAAGCCCTCAGGGATTGGCTATTTCCCCAATTTTACAGAACAATCATTCAGACTGTCACCCCCCCTTTTGTTAGGTGGAAAAACAACTTAACACACCTTCCCACCAAAAGTATGATGAATGACTTCATTTTTGTGGTACAGTACGGGAACAGTTTTTGTTTTGTTCCAGTCCAGTTATAATTCTGTGACTGACATGGGCGTGTGAGAGGGAATAAAGTAGTCCAACATTTTTCTTATACCTTTAGTCAAATCTGAAACACAGCCTGGACGCAGCCCTCCCAAACCTTTTCTTTTCCTCCTGCTCTCAAGAGACGACAGGGAACTCTAAATATGAATACAGTAAACCTATGTTTAACTGACGTTTACACAAGGAAATAACAGTTCATTCAACAGTCCTGTAACGCAGTAGGGGATGCACACACACGTGCAGTGACCAACTTGGTCCTTACTACCATGAAAAGCTAAACCACAGGAGACGGTTCACTGGAATATTATGTGGCAGCATTGTGTCCCACCTGCGTTGTGGTAGGAGTGGCCCTCACAGAGCACCTGTTACCCCTTTTCCACCAAGATGAACCTAGTACTAGTTCTGGGCTGGTGCTAGAGCTGCTTTGTAATTAGTTCAACTTGCCAACCTTCTAAGAACCAGTTTGCTTTTCCACGGTGTAGAGAGCCATAATAGTGCCACGTCATGACATCAATTCACATGTCTCCATTTTCCCACTGCTCGCGTCAAGCACATAAACAGCAATGGCGGATCACATTGTGGCATTTAAGTGTTGCTCCTGGCTTTGTGAGCCTACATTGGCATCGTATGTCTTCTTTTATATCGTGCATGATAATGCTTGATTATTAAAAAATGGTGGTCATCAAGTTTTGCTTTTGTCTTGTAGGACGTGATAACCTCGTCCCAGCCCCATGACGTTAGCGGTTCCTCGTTCTAGACTAGCGGACTATTGGTGCCACCTTGGAACCGGTTTTTGTGGCTGAGGGCCAGTTGTTTGTCTGTCGAAACAAGAAAAACTGGTTCCAACTTTGGCACTGGCTCTGAATCAGTGCCAAACCAGGAGCGATAAGGTTATAAGCAATTGTGGTGAAAGACCTCAGGTTGAGTTCTAGAGTCCTGTTAGTCCAGATGTTCATGCACTTCATTCATAATTTAGAATTTGCTCTCGTTGAAATGGGGCACCAGTCCTCTGGGAGGACAACAATGAATTACTTCATTGACAAATGTATCAATCTCATATCAGAAGCCATGACTTCTCGATTCAATGGATCTCCAGTCTCTACGTCAAAAGAATACAACAGGACAACAGCTGGGTGTAAATAAAGGAGTTTATTAACTAAACTACTATCTACAGAGTAAATGCAAGGTGTAATAATCATAAAGATGGAAATAATAATGAAATGAGCAGTGTGATGAGTTGGCAATGGTGGGAGAGAATATGTTATGGCTTTACACTATGGCTATACAGCTAATGATGCTACATCTACGAATTAGGTTTGATGATTAAATATTACTATATTTCGACATCAACCCAGTCATGGGCAGAGTGTTAACACCGCTGAAGCTGGAGACCCTTGGCTGGAACCCAGGTGGCTGTGGTTGCCGTGGTAACCCTGGAGACACGGGATCTAGGTGGATTCTCCTGGAGGCCGTGTCTCGTTATCACGGTGACGGATTCTGTCGGTGTCTCAGTGGTTCAGCTCTGGTGGAGTTTGCCAGGAGACTTTTTGTCTCGGGTCTCTCTTGATTTCTGCTCGGCTTCTCTGCAGGCGGTCGTGCAGAGGTGTTATCTGCCGGCGTCTCTTGTGGGTTGATGCAAAATAAACTCTAATGCTCTTCACTTTGGCTGGATAACTTTAGAGGAGACTGGTGTTGACCAGATGACTCAGTTGTCAGAAATCTTCAAAAAGGAAAACTTGTTAATAATTAAAAATTACAAAATTAGTCTGAGGTACTTCTGTTGTTTTGGTTCAGTTGGTCTTGACTTGGCTTAATAAAAATGAAAGATCGCACATGTAAACAAAAAGAATGTTACTTGGAGCCTGTGGCAAAGAAAGAATAAAGGACGCGGACAAAACGATCAAGTGTGAAAATGGTTAATAGCCATGAGTTTGTGGCTAGCAGCTTAGAGCTATGAGTTTACATAGCTACAGAGCCAGGCTTTGAGCTTTGAGCAAAGTTTTTAGCAAAGTGTGAATTGATCACGATTGTTTTATCCCCTGGGGGCTGGCGCATGTTTCAGGGGCGTCACCCGTCCTGTGTTTCCACTTGGAGAAGAGAGTAATTTTCCACGGAACTTTTGAATAGTTTAATTCTACCTATAAACTCGTACATCCATCTTCCACCATGACCATAACACATTAAATGAAATAACATAAACCTAATTGCACTAATAATGACAGACAGGAGTAATACGAGTGTTGATTTCACATTACATCCTTCAAACCTGGAATTAATCATAATACAAGTGGTTAATTGATCAAACAACAATATAAACATTTCCTAAAGCTAATAGTCTATAAATGTGGATTACACAGCAGTTCTTTGACTGTAATAATAATAATACGGACATTCTGGATGTCATGTAGTGTGTGTCACCTTGTGTGAAGGATGCTGACAGTATGGTCAGTATGGGATTGACCTATTACATAGAAACATCTCAGGAGTTACAGAACATTTAGATATTTAATTATATATTCTTCCTCAGATCTGTGTCTGTGATGAGAGTTCTGCTGGTCACTACCCAGGGTTGGGATGTGGGTTGTAGTTTATGACTCTTATCTAGAGAGGGACAGAGGAAGGGAGGTTGGTGTGTGTGTGTGTGTGTGTGTGTGTGTGTGTGTGTGTGTGTGTTCATGCATGGCACAGAGAGGCCAGGATTCACACCTTAATGATAATCAGTCCTTTTGTTGTTACTTGTCCTATATAAGAGACAATCAAATATCATTAGACAGAGTCTTATTGTTACAAACTGGAGATTTTGCCTATATTCTCCAGTTGCCTGATGTCCATTGGTTGATCCTCTGGAGCTGACCCTTTGACCTTTGGTCTGGTCCTGTGTCTCTCTGACATGCTAAAAGCATGGACTGTTTGTGGAAGAGGGCTCCTTGGTCTCTGTTTCCTGTCAATTTGATAGTTTGATGGTGGGAAGAGTCGCAAAGTGTCGATTGTGGGTCCATAACTCTGCATGTCCTTACAGTGAACTTCCTTAATGGCTTGTGACTGATGCCAGGCCAGGTATATACGCTACACTAGAAAGGGCAGGAAGGTCAACCCACACTATGTCACCTTGCTCAAAGGCTGTGTGTTTCATACTGCGGCCTCAGTGTTATGGGCAACAGAGTTAAAGCAGCACACAGTCTTTTTACTGAATTGGCATATTTACTTGGAGTACCTGGAGTAGCATTTGAAGCTCTTGGAGGTCTCCGCTCTACCATGGGCCAAAAAGAAAGGAGTGTGAACAATTGTGTTGTATGCTAATTCAGGTGGTCATCCCTTGACCTACTCTTGATGGTGCAGTCTGCCCATCCTACCATGCTGTCCAGACACGAGCACAGTTCTTCTGATGAGATCTGACTCTTTCTGTCAGCCTTGGTCCGTGTGCAAACGTTGAGACATTCAGTCTCTTCAAACTGGGTTCAGTCTTCAAACATTTAGCCGCCGCGGCTGCTCGTTGATCAGGCAGTGCGTATATGTCGAGGTACAAGTTGAGGGGCCTGTTGGTGTGGTGTGTGTGGTTGCCGTGCTTCACAGGCTGTGCATTCAACACACCAACTGGTTACTGTTGAGATATAAAGACGACACAACACGTCTTGTTAAGTTGCTGGCCAGCATGGACTGAACCCCGATTTATTCACTTACTCCAGCCACATACCAAACATCCTGCTGCGCCCCCCCTGGCGGGGCGGAAACACATTCACCTGAACAGAACATCTTAGTAATATGCTGAGAGGATATTCTCCCTTTCTTTTAAACAACTACACTGTGTTAAGTGTTAGTAGCTTCTTATGAACCGTATGAGATAACAGCCAACTTTTTTTTTTTTTTTAAGAACATTGAACCAAAGGCTTCCTTATCACAAAAAAATAGAAAACAAACACACTACAGGGTGACTACTGTAGCCCTCAAAAGTAAGTCCTGTTAGTGAGCAAAGTCCATTAGACCACAAAGTCCCTCAAGTATGGTGGGGGACGGCACACTCGCCTGGGGTAGCAGCCTCTGGCTGTTGTGTTGGGTCTGGGAGTGCTGGCTCCAGCAGCGGGTGGTCATCCGGCTCTGTGAGGTTGAGATCCCTGCGGTTACGCCTTACAGTGCCATTTTGCATTTGCACATAGTACGACCGTGGAGTATGTGCCGTTTGACGCACTGTCCGTTTTTGGTTGGAGTCGCGCACCCAGACTGTGTCCCCAGTGCGTAATACTGGGAGGGTTTTGGCTCTGTGGCGAGTATGAAAGTAAGCCTTTTGTGTGCTCTTAGCCTGCAGATCCGCCTTAGAGAATGCCGCTAGATCAGGCCAGGCTGGTATGTGGACCGACGGGTGAGTCGGCAAGGTCGTGCGAAGTCGCCTTCCTTGGAGAAGTTCTGATGGGCTGAAACCACCAGCAAGGGGTGTTGAGCGGTAGGCCAACAAGGCCAGGTAAGGGTCCGGTGACTTCCTGAGGAGTTGTTTGGCTGTGCGTACGGCACGTTCTGCCGCCCCGTTACCCTGGGGGTACAGGGGGCTGGATGTAACATGTGTGAACCCCCAGGCCTTTGCAAACTGCCCGAAAGTGTCAGAGGAGAATTGGGGTCCATTATCAGTTATTACCTGCAGGGGGATGCCCTGACGAGCAAACCAGGACTTGATCCGCTCCACGACTGCTGTCGAAGTTGTTGACAGCAGCTTAGCAACTTCAGTGAACCTGGAAAAATAGTCGAACATGAC